ACTGGGACTACAGAATTGTATGTCAGATGAGGGCAATTCCAGGAAACATGTCCCATTCCATCAACATCTCCAGAAGTATTGCTACTAGAAGCAACCAAATGACTTAACTGTGCATTCAGATGAGTTTCTGAAAGATGTTTTATAGTGGCAAGACAGAAAGGAGCAGAGTAGTCATTTACCTTTAAGTCAGCTCAGCCAAATGAATGGCCAAGAAATAGGCAAACTCAAGAAATGCCAGTGACAGAACATTAAGAAAGCCTATCTAATCCAGCATTCTATCCATGCTGTGGGCAAGAAAGAAGGACCCCAAAATTGAAAATGAGATTTTAAAAAAAGAGTCGAAGTTATGAGTTGAAAAAACAAAGTCAAGTCAGAGCTGAGTTGCCAGCGCAACTTGAGTTGGACTCAACAGTGAGTCACAAGTCACGGGTCCCCATCCCTGGGGATCGCTGTACGTCAGTTCCCATTTGACAATATTTAACAGCATATAACATAACATATAAATCTTTCCAAGCTGCAATATCAGAATTGGTCAGAAAAGGGAACCAGAGAGCATTTCTTTGTATTTTTCTGGTAACAGAAAGCACAAAGCATTAATACCACACATTGTAGTGAATGACTTGCGCAATCAGAGCAATGGTAACAGTAACAGCCATCCAGATGTTATGAAGCAATGAGTTAAGCAACATTCTCAGCTTGGCATATACTGTTTAGACTCACACTGTTGCCCATAAGTAGGAAATTATTTTATAGTTCCTTCAAAAGTGCTCTTCTGGGAATTTAATCTCTCCTCCCTAACTGGCACTTTCTAGATCACACAATCCAATATTGGTGGGATGGCATAGGTGGGACTTGTAGTTCAACACATCTGAGAAGTCCCAAGTTAGAGAAGGCAGCTAAAGCATGACATCTAACAACCTGGCAGAACACCTCCTTCCAATGAGATCTGCCTGTTTTATATAATCTTTCCAGGCAGGGCGGCTGAGAACACTGACTCAAGAAAGGCCCGGAAAGAGAAGACCAAAAACTGGGCCCTCTTGGTGGTCACTCCCCGTCTTTGGAACCAGTCTCCCACCTGAAATTTGCTTGGTCCATTCACTGGCAATGTTTTACACAATCAATGAAAACATGGCTTTTCAGCAAGGCTTTCCCGGAGTATTTAACAACCTAACACAGTGGTCGTTTCAGCATTTTATGCTACCTGTTCCATCATCATCTTGCCTTTAAATTATCCTAATTATGTTTAGTTTTTACTTATGTTACAAGTCTATGTTTATTTGATGTTTAATTTTGATTTTTATAGTTTTTTTTAAATTGTTTCATATTATTGTTTATCTGTTTTTCATCTTGCCTTTAAATTATCCTAATTATGTTTAGCTTTTACTTATGTTACAAGTCTATGTTTATTTGATGTTTAATTTTGATTTTTATAGTTTTTTAAATTGTTTCATATTATTGTTTGTCTGTTTTTAGTGGTAAACCACCCAGAGTGGTCCTGGTAGCCAGATGGGTGGTATAGAAGTCAAATTAAAAAGAACAACAACAATAGCAGAGCATATATACTGTATATATACTGTGCCAATATTTAACAGGTTTTTCATTAAAACTTATATCTTATTTATTTATTTTTATTTATTTATGCAACAACAATAGCAGAGCATACATATATACTGTGCCAATATTTAACAGATAGGTTTTTCATTAAAACTTATATAATACCAGTCAATATTTTTATAATTTTGATTGATTGTGTCTGATGTTTTTGAATAATAATAATAAGAACAACAACAACAAAAACATGCACAACTGAGCTTTTCCATTTCTTAGTTGATTAAGACCACTCTAGGTAGCTTATATAATACCAGTCAATATTATTATAATTTTGATTGATTGTGTCTGCTGTTTTTGAATAACAACAACAACAACAACAAGTAACAATGCATAGGAAAAAACATGCACAACTGAGCTTTTCCATTTCTTTGCTGTATTTCTTCTCTTCCACCCCCTTTCCCACCAGCCCTGGCAACATGTATGCTTCATCTTATCCTTTCAGACACCACCACTTGTTTAAGAAACTATAGCAAATAACTGGAACTTTCCCAACAAAAATCACAAAAGATATCTAATAATGCTCTTCTGTTATTCTGCTACTTCCAATCACTTCTTCTAAACAACGTAGAATCACATTTTTTTCCAGAGAATCAGTATCTGTACATTGATTTTTTGCAGGCGCACAGAAAAGGCTCTAAACCAAAATTTTCTTTTGCATTTTCCATAAGTTTGCACGTTTGTGTTTTAATGTAAACTCTATGAAGAAACCACTGCACTGTCAGTTCTGCGTATTTCTAGCCAGTGAGTTCTTTCTCGCTAAAAGCAAATAAGACTTGGCTGACCATCAAAAGGCTTTTCCCCACCACTGGCACTACATGTGCATGGCTCATCTAGCCATTATGCATTTTCTCTCATTTATTTGCATACTGGGAGACACTACATTATAGCAGATAATGAAAGGAAATTATTCAAGGAGAAAATGTATTAAAATATTTGGTTGGGATAGAAATAACTACAAAGAGTTTTCATGATGTAAATAGGGCAAACAAAGGATCCTTTAATTATAAGTGATGTATATTCCCTTTTAACATAGTACATTAAAGGAAACTTTGCATGTTTTATTTATGCTGTTCAAATACCAAAGCTTTAAAGTCAAAAATGTACAACTTCCAAAAACATGACACCTATCGATATAGGTATATCTTTGTCCCTGATTTTGCAAATACACCACTGGGCTATTTCAAACTGTACTAGCAATAAAGGGTCCAAAGCTTCAGATAGAACTAGAAAAATAAAAAAGAATAGACAGGTGAAATCTCTTGTTTTAATATCTAAGTGATAAGATGATGAACAAATATGATTAAAAGTATGAGAGCGAGCCTTTCACTTCCAACACAAACTGTAAAATACACTTGTTCTTAAATTAGTCTCAGGACAAAATTTATCCTGAAATTTACTTTTAACAATCAAAACTCATTCTTCTTTGGGCAGTTATGAGCACCATCACCAAATTTGTTGAAGTATTTGAATGAATAGAGTAGCTAATAAGGAAATTTCAACTGGAGAAATAAAGATGAACTCTAGATGTGACTACATAAGGATGGCTGCATTAAAGGGGTATGAAGACAACTTAGTCTAAATCAAAGGGGGGGGAAACAGAGCGAGTGTCACTCAAATTTACACTGTCCTTTCAATTTTTCTCACCTCTGTTATAAACAGGAAAAACTACTGGTGGCCTTTTTATTTATTTATTTGCCTAGGATTGCAAACATTGGTCAATCTTCCTAAAAAGTCAGTAACTTGAATCTGAGATGAGTTCCCTCCCCACATAAGAATTAATAACAACATATGAGAGAGGGTTGTCTAAGTCTAAGTGGAGATCACTCATTCATACGGTCACCATAAGTTGAAGGTGATCAGCCTAAGTTCCACTATAGAATTTGGAAATGGAAGGTAGCCCACACCTTCCCTTCTTCTGGTAGTCAGAATATCCAGGACCCTGTTTGTTAATAAACAATCAGAAATAGCAAATCACAGCTTATAGTCTTGCCAGCTTACTTATTGCTATACAAGAGTGCAGCAATGATCTTGTGCTGGCAGAGCATATTAACCTTATATAAAAAGCAACATGTTTGCAGAGCATGGGTTTGGAAATTGGAAAGTTGTACTTCATGTATACTTCCATTTAAAAAGCCAGAAAAATCAATTCTGAAAAAAAAAAACCCTCCATTTTATGAAGGTAGGATATTGTGCTTCTGTATCCAAGATTTAGACGAAATTGACACCAAGAAATGTCCCCATATTGTTGCACAAGATCATGCTTATGATGCCAATAGGAAAAGGGATACTAAATTTTGCGTAGCAAAGAGCAGTCTGAATGTTGACGACGCCCATGTCAGCAGTCAATATGTCTACAAGATACACTCTTGTGCTCACTATCATTCACAAAAGGACACCAAGCCAGGGAAAATCCCAGAAGCTGACTCCTTTTTCATCAGTTAATCACGTCTCATCCAAACATAAAGCAATTGCCGGGCCTGTTTTCCAAAAAATTATTTAGGTAGCTACTTCTTAGAGCCACAAGTAATCAAAATGCCCAGAAGAAATAGTAGTTAGATCTCAGATGGGTGATTTTATTGGGGGGGGGATTTGTTTTCTTTTTATACGTTCTTTATGGTTTTAATCATATTTTGTAAGCCGCCCAGAGCAGTGGCATGTTCACTAAAAGGGTGGGGTATAAATCTAAATAAATACAATTAAAAATTAAGAAGTAAGCTGCGCTTTGCTATGTAACGTTTTATATCCTTTTTTCCTGCTGGCAACGCGTGCATGGTATTGTGCAACACAATCGGGTCTTTTCCTGTCACTTTCAATTATGGATACAGAAGCATAATATCCCACATTCATAAAGCAGAGGTGTGTGTGTGTGTGTTTTTTTCAGAATTGAATTACTTCTTTATCTTGTAAGGGAAAGAGGTAGGGGAAATAAGAGTCTGCGGGTTCCAGGCAGCAGCCTTCCATTCTGCTGAGAAGACTCAAGGCAACCCACTAGTTTAAAGACTTTAACACCTTCATTAAAGAATACAGAGTTGCACCACCAGATCCAACAGACTAAAAGGGTTTGGGAATAACTTTTTGAAACTGAACAACTTAAACTGCTTTGGAGAAGGGATTTTCCTTCTGAAATATATACGCCACTTTAACAACTTGTCTTGCCACATTCCTTTGCAGCCTCCCATCACTATATGAAGAGCTTTCTTTTTTTCAACAGGCATTTAACTTGCCAATCCTTCACGTCCTTTCAATCCCACTGGCACTTTGTACGAATATATTTTATCTATCTTTCTCCTCTTTTTGCTATTTATAATGTTTATGCATATGTTGCCTGTTGACTTAACATGTAAAGCTGGAGAGAAATAATTTAACAAATGAACTTGCCATGCTCTTACCTCTATTTGTTTCTTCAGTTCTCTTTCAGCAGCGCTGTCCCGGACAGCAGGTTCTCGTCGTGATGCATCTGCAAGGACATTGACTGTAGCCTCTGCTTCTTGTAACCACTTCAGGAAACTTTCAAGGTCTCTGAGCAAGGCATGTACTGTCTTCAGGTCAGCCTCCAAAGCATTCTGCCTATTACATGTTCTGGAGAAATGAAGGAAATAAGCAAAAGTTGTCTCAGAAAAAAAAGAGGAGAGGTAAGATCTGTTCTCGATCATCTCAGAGTGCAGGGCACGCAACAATAGGCTCAAGTTAAAGGAAGCCAGATTTCGGCTGAATATCAGGAAAAACATCCTAACTGTTAGAGCAGTACAGCAGTAGAACCAGTTACTTAGGGAGTTGGTTACAGCTCCAACACTGGAAGCGTTCAAGAAAAACTTAGATAATCATCTGGCAGATATGCTTTGATTGTATTCCTGCATTGAGCCGGGGGCTGGACTTGATGGCCTTCACTTTTCTATGATTCTATGAACTTGAACATAGGCAAATAATTTTTGCAAGTAATGTTTTAGTACCCTAAGGAAAAAAAACACCAAATCTGTGTGCAGTGTCCAACACCAGATTCCACCAATAGAACAGCAGAATCCAATACAATTAGGAAGCATCCTTCTCAACCTTCTACTTCACATTTTACATCGCAAAGAACGTACTGTCTTGATGATTACAGAAGAATGTTTGTAATTAGATATGGAGTTTTGAGAAACAGTAAATAACTAATTATTACATTTAAGTTATTTGTTTAAAACAAACAGATCTGTTTACCAAAACAGAAGCTGACATCTGACTCATATATAATGGATAAAGGCAAACTTTTTTAAAAAAAACCTATGCATTATACTTTTTAAAAAACTATGCATTATACATTATATTTTTTGCCGAACTACTTCAGGGATCCTGTTTTGCTGAAGCAAAATGAAGAACAGAACTTTTTCCCCCTAGAGCTTAATTTTGTTCGGCAAAAGGGGATGCCCACTTACCCACTTCCACTGTTGCCTCCCTACTTGCTCCACCACTGCCACCACCATCCGCAATGGCAGTAGACCTAGCCTCCCTTGCCAGAGCCAGCCGACTGCCTTTGCACATGCACCCAACTATCCGCTGTCAGTGCCACACAACCAAGATCTCAAAACAGTTGACTTTTTAAAGATCTTGAAACAAGTGAAAGATAACTTCAAACTTAACAAAATAAATAAATAAAACTTCTGCTAAAACTTAGAATGACAGGTTGCATCACAATATTCTCTTTCATTCCTTATCATCTAACCACACAGTAAGCAAAACAGGCTTGAAAGTCAAGTAAGTGTTGCTTTAACAATTACACAAAGAGATCGATGGAAATTGACCAAAGTGTCACTGGATTAATCTACCTACTAAATCAATTAAAGTTGTCAGCTCTAACCTTACAGATTTTGTATTCCAATGTCCTTTCATCACAGTCCTGTTAAATAAAAATGTTTCCTTGCTCACATATAGCAACCTTGGCTTATCAAAGATACCACAAAGAAAAATAGGGCTTAAAGCCAATTATTCAGAATGGGTCTCATATGCGATCATATTTCTATTTTGAGCTTCCCCCTAAAAACCATAAAACTACCATTTCTGGGCACAAGTCAGAACCAGAGGATCAAAGAATTCTAGAGCTGGAAGGGATCCCAAGGGTCACTGAGTCCAATCCTCTGACAGAGAATGAAATCCACAGTTCAAACATCCTTGACAAGTAACCAGGCAACATCTATCTAGAAAGCTCTATGGAATTAAAAACCCATTATTTTTTGAGGTAGTTGATTCCACTGTAAAATAACTCTTACTGTCAGAGTGATTCGTCAAAATCTCTCTTATTATTATTTGAATCCATTGGTTAGGATCCTGACCTCTGGAATTGCAGAAAGCAAGCTTGTTCCACCTTTCAGTAACAATTTCTTAAGACATCTCTCATATCACCTTTTTTCAGAACTAAGCACACCTAACTCCCCCAACCATTTTGAGAAGACTTTCCATTCTCTTGAAGACCCTCCTATAGACACATTCCACCTTATACAATATCTATTAAAAACAATCGTGCCCGTAACTAGACAAAGGGTTCCAGGAGACATCTCACCAAAGCAAAGTAGGTGCTATTATTACTTTCTTTGATGTACTTTATGCTACAGTTCAGGCAGCTTAGTACTGCATTTACTTTTCTGGCTCCACATGATACTACTGACTCATGTTTAGCTCCTGGTTTATTAACACCCCTAGATTCTTTTCACTTTTCTTACTTCTTCCAAACCAGGCATTAACCATCTTATATTCGTTCATTTGATTTTTTTTTTCTTCCATCTAAACACAGAACATTGTGATTTTTCCTTTTGCACGGCTCCACCTGCACAACAGGAAATTCAAGTCACTAAAAAACTTGAGATCCAACCTCCTCCTCCCTTGCCTTGCTGACATCATCATCTTCCAGAAGGTGAAAGAAGCAACAAAGAGAATCAGCTATTCTAGTCATGAATATCATCTCATCAAATTTCCACATTGCCTGTTACATTGTATTGTCCTTCCTGGGTCAGGATTTGAGACTCCTTTGTTTGTTTGCCATGCTCTGTTTATTGGTTTAGAGAGATCTGAAACTACTGATCATTCCCTCTCATTGCTGTCTCCAGCTGTTTTCCATCCTTTGAGGGGTTGCTGTTCCATGTGCATCACCAACACTCTTGTCTTCAGCACTTGCTGTCTCACCACTACCAGCAACATGCCTCCCCCCTCTAGGAACTGGCAGGAATTTTGCATCCACAGAATCCTTCTCGGGTATTCCATGCTTTCTGCTGTCTCTGCTTCAGCAGCGTAGGACTACAACACTCATGGAGAGCCTGTGAAGCTATCTCTGTTGTAACAGCTCACCACTGCTGCCCATGACGAAGGACTAACTTCAATCAAGCTACGATAAGGACACAGCTTATTTCCCAACAGCCCTGCTTCTCTGGGCCACATTCCGCCAAGTAGCTGCCTCCTGCATTTCACAGGCTTCCTCCTCCATAGAGGCTATCCTCCACTGCTGGGTCCAAGCTAACAGATTGCATCTCCCTCTATGAGCCTGTCTGGGGATCAAGGTGATCAGGAGAGGCCTTTCTTTCAGTCCCATCACCTGCACAGGGGTGCTTGGTGGCGAGACTGGAGAAGGCCTTTTCTGTTGCTGCTCCCGGACTCTGGAATTCCCTTCCAGGAGAGTCTACTCAGCTCTGTTCAGAAATGTTTCACTTTCTTTGATGAGCTGAAGTGTGGACAGGCAGGCCTCAAGCTGCTGGACTTTGTCTCTTTCCAGGAAGGACAAATAACACGCACCTGCAGCAGCTATAGCAGTACTTTTTCATGACATCAAGAAAAATGTGCCACAGCTGCAGCTGCTCCTTTGATGTTAATCCTTATTGCCTTCTGTGGATGGCAAAACCACACTCTTGGCCTCCTCCTCACACTCCGTCACTTGAAGACCCATGCAGAACAAGCCTATTTATTGATCCGGTCCACAGTATCACAGGGACTTTTGAGTGTAGCTATGCTGAATGCAGAATGATGGCACAGAACATAAAACATCTTTGAAACAACTTTTGTTTCCCCCCCCCAAAAAAAAAAAATAATAAAAAGGACTGGATGTGGAAGATAAATAACAGCAACCGAGTCAGATCTTCATGAACACACTGAAGTGTACAGGAGAAAAGATTTCCCAAATATACACAGCATGCTACCAAGAAGGAACTGGTATTTGCTGCACTACTACAATGACATTCCATGGTCCATCTTGCTTAGCTGCAATTAAGAGTCCTATAACACTGGTCCCATTAAGGATGAAAAATTTAGTTCCATCAGTAGCATGAATGCTCATTACACAAATGCTACCAAAATGTTTATTTATTATTTATTTAGTTGAAATACTTCTATCCCACCTTTCTCCTTAAAAGAGACCCAAAATGATTGTGTGGAACAAAAAGTTAAAGTGGGAATATGTCTCCATTCATTTAGAAAAAGTGAAGCTCATTCTTGTGCTATTGCTTTTTCTTTATGAAGGTAAGAACAAGGACAATTCTCAAGTGCAAACCAATGTGCTGTGCTGCCTCTGCTTGGTGGGAAGGAGGGGTCCCTGCAGGTGATAGCAAGTGGTGCTGACGTCAGCCCATACAATTTCCTTCTCTGACGGCTGCAGAAGACTCGTGCGAGAAGGAGATTCTCCTTCTTGCACAAGCAACCCTCAAAGCTATAGTAAGTTTAGATTATTTAAATTTTTGGGTTAGAAAACTGGGGGTCGTCTTTTACATGGGGATGTCTTATACATGGAAAATACGGTACTTCCAATAAGCATACTTAAGAGCTGTTCTGCAAGAAACATTCACCAAGACACCTAAGGGAAAAGGGGAAAAAATATCTTATGAGACACAATTTGAGTTGCCTTGTTATATCAAGCAAGGGTCTATCTTGTGTAGAGCACTGGGTTTTTTTCAATGACCAAATTAAAATTCAATAAATAAATTAAATATTCAATAAATACTGTGCCCCTGGCCACCCAAACCACATGAGTTCAACACTGAAGGCATCAAAGTGATCTACTTGCCCCACAACAGGACATTTTATTATTTATTACAGTCAATGACCAGGAAAAATTTTAAAAAAAGTATTATTTAGATAAAATCACATAATATCAGGTAGTACTGAAAGAGATTGGACAAGACATGTCACCATCAATGCACAGTCTGGCTCTTTTAAGACATTAAAATTAAGAAAGAATTTCTAAGTTAGCCAGCGGCATTGAAGGATATAAAAGTTTTTTAAAACATCACACCAATCACACAATATAAGATGAAATTAGGAGACAAATATAACCACCCCAACTCTAACAAGTAAAATTAAACAAGAAACCTCCAACAAGGGCAGAGGCAATTGAAGACCTTATGTGGTCAGCAAACTGGCAAGCTACAGTAGCTGTGCAATGTTTGGCCAGTTTACTAGTGATGTAAGAAACCTTGTCAGAGAGCAGCAAAAGAATATAAAATCTGTTAGATCTCCCCTGAAGTTTTTGAAAAATAGGGGAGAGAAGATCCTTGTGGATATATCTTGATAAAAAAGACCATACACCATCATCGCAGGGACATAAATGATCAGAATAGGATGTGCCC